TCTGCTGACCCCAAACCCTTTTCTTCCTTCTTTGCTCCTCCAGCCTGGAGTCCTCCTGTCACAGCGTGGATCGCTGTATGTGGTGTTTGCCGAGTTAAGATCTGCTGACCCCAAATCCTTTTCTTCCTTCTTGGCTCCTCCAGCAATGCCCACTCTCTCTCTGCATCCCCTTCCCCTGTCCCAGCCCCTGTCCCTTCTCTGGCCCAGTCCTGACCCCACCAATTTGGCTGTGTCTCTCCCAGACTGGCTGCTCTTTGAGGGTCTGAGCCCAGAGTGGGTGTCTGTTTGGAAAGTTGGAATACTTAGGCTCAGACCATGGTGGGATCCGCAGCAGTTCCAGCTGCATCTGCAGGGAGTTCTGAAAGGCTCAGGCTCCATCACTGGCTTGGAAACATCTGGGGAGTCCAGTGGCCAGGCTGACCCCCTAAATCCATGACAATAGATGCAGAAAGCCAGGGCCCTTACATATCAGAACTCGTTCTGACCCCAGGTGAGTGAGGGCTAAGAAAGCACAGACATGGGGGTGGTGGTGCAGGGGCCAGGGGTGGCCCAGGCTGGATTGTGAAGGACCATGTGGGACCTGCCTCCTTCCTCAGGGTCCAGTCAGGTCCTGGATGGGTGTGGGGGCTGCAGATTCAAAGCTAACAGGACCCACCAGACTATTTTCTGCAGGAAGGCCAGGATGCAAACGGCCAAGAGTGGGTGAGTGGGCAAGTGGGACAAACACCAGCTTTGGGAGATGTGGGGTGGGGGTATATACGAGTTCAAGGCTTGGCTCTGTGGGATCTCGGGCAAGTGACAAAACTTCTCCCGGCCCCCAGTTTTGCACCTGCAATGGGGTATTTGTGGCTTCTCCCTCAGTGTTTGGTTAGCGCTCAGTAAATTTAATTCACACTTTCACCTGGCAAATATTTATTGCCTCAGTGATGACAGAAGAAGGGGAGTCTCACTTGTCAAGGTGCCCCCAACTGTGCTTGGCAGTTTGCCGACAGGACACAACTCATTTATACTCACAAGGCAGCTGGGAGGTAGATTCTGCTGTTAGCCCTGTTTGACACAGGAGGTGTGTGACATGGGGGATGCCAGGGCCCTGGGGTGGCTGCAGTGGTGACCCCCAGACCCAGGGCCTGGGCTGGGCTGGACTGGGCTGGAGGCCCCAGGACTGGACCTTCTGGCTAATGTGGCCAAGGAAAACCAGGCCCTGGCCGGCAGGGCCTGGCTCCTTGGCAGGCAGGCAGGAGGCCAAATCCGGGCCCCCTCTCAGATCTTCTCCACGTAGTTTCCTGGGAAGAGGCCCTCCTGGCCATGCAGCCGGCCTTTCCACCAGCCCGAGGAATCTGTGGGTGAGAGGGGAGTGTGAGGCGGTGTGCGGCCCACCCAGGAGGAAGCCTTCATGTGGCTCCCTGCCTGTTTTATTCATCGCCACGCCATGACCCCTCTGGGACTCCCCACTTACCCGCAGAGGGTGCTGCTGAGTCCCAAGCCCCTCTGGGGTGGGCGGGCAGCCCAGGGGACTAAGGTAGGAAGGTGGCCTGGGCCATCCAGACACGACTGACCCATTTTTACTCATAAGGGGTCTCTTTGAGGTGGGTTCTGCTATTAGCCCTGGGCTTGACAGGAGAGAAAAATGAGGCCCAGGGGACTGGGCATGCTGCTGTGAGGCCAGGCCCCCAGAGAGCCTAGGAGGGAACCTCCAGACCCAAGGCCTTCTAGCTTATGCAGCCACTGGCCCGGAAGAGAGTATCTCTGGTGGGGGCTGGTTGCTTCTGTTCTCTTCCGGAAGGGTGTGCAGGAATGGGGGGTTGCCCAGCAGGGTTCTGACTCCTCCCCCCTCTGCCCTGGGACACACACCTTCCATGAGGATCTCAATGACCTCGTTCACGTTGAAGCTCAGCTCGTCCACATCTTGGCCCACATACTGGTACAATGCCCGGCACCGCGGGCCATGCGTCCGAGGCTGGGGCTTGGGTCGGCCCACGCCCGGCACAGGTCGCTGCCCCACACTGCGCTTCCTCTGCATGCTGTGGGTACAGGGAGCGCTCGTCAAGGCCCAGACACTCCCCTGCCCCCTGTCCACCTCCTGGGGCTGCCCTCTTTCATCACTTACCCTGCCACACCCTGGTCAGGTACGTTAAGGAATTCTGTGCTGTGCTCCGAGGGGGGCCGTGCCCGGGGGCGCCTGCTGGCCCTCAGGGCTGAGGATGGAGGGCCCCGGAGAGGCTGCTGGAAGCCCCCTCCAGATGTGATCTCCAGGGGCAGGGGCCCCCTTCTGGCAGAAGGAGTCACCCCATTGTGGTCCAGGCCTGTGGCAGGAGCGAGAGTTGGGGCATTTATCAGGGTGATGGTAGGAGGATTTGGGGAGGACTTAGCTCCAAGATCCCAGTCTGAGGGGGGAGGCAGCCAGTCACATGCTCAACCCAACATGGTAGGGACTGGCCCAGAGGGAGTCTCTGCAGGGGTAAGATTTCCACCATCCTCTTCTGTAGGAGGGCTTTTGTTGGTGGGTTTTGGAGGATGAATGGGAGCTCAAGCTAAGTGGGAATTTGGGAGACAAGAGGAGCAAACAGCCCAAGCAAAGGCTTGGAGATATGAACAAATTTGTTAAGTTGGCAGAATAAGATCTAGCTTGTGTGACAGGAGTGTAAGATGGGAGGAGAGAAGAGGTTGGTGGTTAGCTGGGTTTGGCTTCTGAAGGGCTTTGAATATCAAACTAAGCTTAGTCTGTATTCTGTGGAAGAGGGGGAGCTGTGCAGAGTTCTGTTGACAGCAGGCATGGCTTGGGTCATGGAGCACACAAGAGGCAAGGGAAGACACATCTCCTCACCTCTGGGAGGCCCAGGGGCTGCCCGGGTAGGGACCTGGACTGGCCTTCGAGGTTTTCCCTGGGCCATTCCCTTCCGTGTAGGCTCTGAAAGGGGAAAGGACATGGGAATTTGAGTAGTGACCAGACCACAACAGGCTCTTGGCCCCGCCCACAAGTCCAGGCCTCTCTGTGGCCCCGCCCCAGACTCCGCCCCCCTGGCTCCCTGGCTGTCCCATCGGCACCGCCCCGTAGTTACTGGAACAGTGGCTCTGCCCAGTAACTGGCCCAGCCCCCCAGGGCCCACTTCTCATTGGCGCGGCTTCTAGGCCCGCCCACTACGGGGGGGGTTATTTCCCTGGCCACGCCCCCTCCACATTTCTCTCCCATTCATTGGTTACCTCGCTGACCCTGCCCTCTCCGTGGCCGCGTCCTTTCCATTACATCTTTCTCGACCCACCCCTCCACGGCCCTCACCCGCTCCGGGCCAGCCTCACTGGCTCCGCCCCCACAGCCTTGATTAGTCCCCTCCTCGCTGGCCCCGCCTCCATAGGACCCGCCTCTTTGGCTCCGCCCCCAGCTCTGCGCAGACTCACTGGAGCTTTTGGGCAGCCCGTCGCCCACGCTGACTGTGAGGGACCGGCCGCTAGCCTTGAGCACGGCAACCTCGCCGGAGCCACGGGAGAAAGTGACGCTGCGGGTGCCACCTCCGCCCCAGCCCTCCTTCTTCACTCGGAACTGTAGTCTGTGGGGAGAGGAGGAAGCTGCGGGGACGCCCACTCCCCAAGCGGGCCGGGGCCGCGGGGCGCGAGAGGGGGCGCTGTGCCCAGCCCAGCCCGGGGACGGTGGCGGGGGGCGTACGTGTCGCTGAAGGTGAGGGGCAGGGCCCTGCGCGCCGCCTCCTCGAAGCGCTTGCTCAGGAGGCTGACGAACTCGGTCTTGAAGATGCTCTCCAGGAAGCTGTCGGCGGCGTCTTCTTGGAGGATGAAGAAGTCGTCCTGCCTTGTGCTGGGGGAGGGGTGGGAGGAAAGGCAGGTGAGGGTGGCAGGACTGACATGTGAGATGCGACGGGGAGGGTCGGGTGAAGGGAAGTGAGGGGTGATGAGAGAGGGGGCAAGGAGCTGGGGAAGGTGGTCATAGAGAAGCGTCAGGTGAGGGGACAGGTGCTCTTGGCACATAAGGATCATGAGTGTGGGGCAGGGGAAGGTGACACGGAGGGCCAAGAGAGGGTTACAGGTATAGCGTAGGTTAGATGGTCAGAGTGACAGATGGGGTGAGAAGTGTGAGGGCAGCTGAGGATGACAAGAGGGCAGATGAGGGGGACTGGGGCAGGGGAGGGCCTGGCCTCACCTAAGGGAAACTCCTCGGAGGGCCTGGATCTCCAGCTTCTTCTTCAGGACCTCACACACCTGGCCCTTCTCTGGTCCCTTCTTCACCTTCTCCCGTCCGATTATATACACACACTTGGGCGTCAGGATCAAGTCCCTTTTGATGGGCTGTGAGGATGCAGGAGCAGAGCTGGTGGCTGGAGCCCTGGGCATGGGCCGCCTGGCTCCACAAGATCAACCTCAGGCAGGGGAGTGGTGCTGGCAGGTGAAGGACAGGTCAGCTGAGTGTTTCCCTCCACGTGAAGGTATATGAGGAGTTACATTATATAAGAAATAGGAGGTTAAGGTATATTGGCTAGAGAGGGGTTTCTGGGCCAGTGAACAGGTACAGGAGAGGTGGTGCCCCTGGGCACGGCCCCCCTCGGAGCACAACACAGAATTCCTTAACGTACCTGACCAGGGTGTGGCAGGGTAAGTGATGAAAGAGGGCAGCCCCAGGAGGTGGACAGGGGGCAGGGGAGTGTCTGGGCCTTGATGAGCGCTCCCTGTACCCACAGCATGCAGAGGAAGTGCAGTGTGGGGCAGCGACCTGTGCCGGGCGTGGGCCGACCCAAGCCCCAGGTGTGTCTGGGCCAGACGAAGATACGTCTAAGTGACAGATCTATCTAGACTGGCTGAGGGTATACCTAATGGATAGGTGTGTCCAGGGTAAGTGGGGGTGGCCCTATGGTCAGGGCTTCTGGGTGAGGGAAGTGTGTAATTGTGGAAAGCTGTGTCTGGCCAGACGAAGATGTATGTGACGGACAGGTGTGTCTGGGCTACATGAGGGCATATTTAATGGCCAGACGTATCTACACTAGTTGAGTGTACAGGTGTGTCTGGCCCAGTTGAGGGTGTACCTGTGATGGGGCAGGTGTATCTAGGCTAGGTGAATATATACCTGTGGACAGGTGTATCTGGGCCAGGTAAGGGTGTACCTCTGGTGGGGGTACCAGGCTGGGGCCAGGATCCCAGACGTGCCCACCTGCTAGTGCCTCACCTTGAAGCGGCGGTCGTACTTGGTGACCGAGTCAGCGAAGTCCACGCGTTCCCTCTTGCCCAGGAACTGGCGCAGCTCCGGCCGCTCCTCTAGCCCCAGGTAGTCCCCGACGAAGTTCCGGTTGATACTGTTCCGTCTCCGCTCCTTCTTGTTCAGCAGGATGTTGGAAGCTGTGGGGACACCGGGTCGGGGGCAGAGGTTGTGGCCTGGCTCTTCCAAGTCCATCTGTCCCCACCCTGAGCCTCCCATCTGCAGCCTCTCACCTTCCTCCCGCATCTCCTCGTACTTCCGGACTGCCACATGGCGCCTCCAGGCCTTCTGGATGGTGCGGGCAAAGCCATCGAACTTGCGCTCTCGCATCTCCTCCAGAAGGAAAAGCTGGGCGAGAGGGAGGGGTGGTGGGTCTTTCTCTGATCCCACCCTACCCACTTGCTCTTGCTTACAGGCACCTGCACGCATGCTCATACACTATGGTCAAAAAAATTTTTTTCTTCCTCCAAATGACTGGACCCAGGGTTCCCTCCCAATATGGGGCACAAACTCCTGCATTAAATGAAACTGTGCACTGGTCTTGCAGGGTTCGAATCCCAGCTCTGCCTCTTCTAGCTGTGCTGTCTTGCCAGAAATACTGTAACATCACAGTTTCTCACACTGCTAGTTAAGTTATGGCACGTCACCCACCTGAGGTGCACCCCAATTTCAGATATGTTAGAAATGTGAACCAATGTGCATCTTAGAAAACCAACAAAATACTGTAAATGTGAAAATCTGGTGTATAGGACTGTGATGTACCTGGAGACCAGGTAGTTGTATAGTGTACAACCTGCCCAGCCGTACATGCCCGCCCTGGAAAAGAAGTTTTTACAGAGAGCAGACTTTTGAGTTTTAAGAGTCTCAGTCCAGAGGGGACTTAAGGTATAAACTATATTAGAGCAAGTCAGAGTTGCAATGCCATGAAGGATGTCCCTTCACTTAGAATAATAACAGTGAACATATCAAGGAGAGGAGCCCACTGGATATGAAAAGTTATAAATCTCAGTAATAAGAACAAGGGGGTGCTGATCGAAGAATAGAACAACCTAGTGGGATAGGACAGATGACTGGGGAGCGTTGTAATTCAAACAAATGTATTTATTTAAAGATTTCATTTATTTATTTGACAGAGAGAGAGACACTGAGAAGGAACACAAGCAGGGGCAGAGGAAGAGGAGAAGCAGGCCTCCCGCAGAGCAGGGAGCCCGATGCGGGGCTCGATCCCAGGACCCCGGGATCATGACCTGAGCCGAAGGCAGACGCTTAATGACTGAGCTACCCAGGCGCCCCCAATTCAAACAAATTTAGTGATAAAAGGGACAGCATTGTCAATCAGGGAAATACCGAAATGGGAAATAATGTAAATAAAATGGGGCTTTATTTAGAAAAATAATTAGCACTTCACCCAGACGGATTTGTCAAATACACAAATATTACATCACTGCTAAGGCCTGCTTTGCTGAGCAAGGTGGTTGATGTTTCCCAGAAACCCCAGGGTTCGCCGCAAGGACCAAAGTAAGTCTGTCGATACTTGGTTCAAATGCACTTTAAAAAAATATATCTTGGAGGGATACCTGGGTGACTCGGTTGAGCATCCGACTTTTGATTTTGGCTTGGGTCATGATCTCAGGGTCGTGAGATCGAGCCCCAGTGGGGCTCCGTTCTTAGGGGGGAGTCTGCTTCTCTCTCTCTCTCCCTCCCTCTCCTTCCGCCCCTCCCCGCCCCCCGCTCATTTTCTCTCTAAAATAAGTAAATCTTTATATATCTTTGAGAACTTTTAAAGCTGTGAGTGTTTATAAGTATTCATGAAAGGTGGGGATCTTTTCACCTGGAAGGAATCCTAACCCCACCAAGGCTATAGTTTCACAGCCTGCAGGGAATCGAGTGGAGTTTCCATACTCCTTTGTTTCTCAGACCGGTATTATATGGGTCAGTGGGTCTGTGTGCAAAGCATGCCCAAGTAATGCCTCGTATAGGGTGTCTGGACGGCACGGAAGTACATTCTGCAGTTTGCTGAGAGGACATCAGGTATGAATAAAGAGCTTGCAGAACTGGGGGTGGGCCAGTCAACCAGGAGTCCTCTCTGCCTTAGCTGTTTAGGGCAGATGGGACGAGTGTCCTGCAACCTCGTTATTTCTGCTCAGGGAAGGGAATTCGTTTTCAATTTGGGAAAGGAATCTTCCTGTCTACAGAGTTTAAAATTCATCTCCTTCGGGGCGCCTGGGTGGCTCAGTCGGTTGAACGACTGATCCTGAGGTCCTGGGATCGAGCCCCACATTGGGTTCCCTGCTCAGCGGGGAGTCTGCTTGTCCCTCTGCCTGCCCCCACCCCGCTTGTACACGCGCGCACGCATGCTCTCTCAAATAAATAAATAAATAAATAAATAAATAAAATCTTTAAGAAAATAAAATTCATCTCCTTCAGGGTGCCTGGGTGGCTCAGTTAAGCGTCTACCTTTAGCTCAGGTCATGAACCTAGGGGCCTGGGATGGAGCCTCGAGTCGGGCTCCCAGCTCAGCAGGGAGAGTCTGCTTGTCTCTCTCCCTTTGCTCCTCTTCCCACTTGTGTTCTCTCTTTCTAATAAATAAAACCTTTTTTTTAAGATTTTATTTATTTATTCATGAGAGACAGAGAGAGAGAGAAGCAGAGGCAGAGGGAGAAGCGGGCTCGATCCCAGGACCCTGGGATCATGACCTGAGCCGAAGGCAGACGCTTAACTGATGAGCCACCCAGGCGTCCCAAATAAAACCTTTTTAAAAATAAAATTCAGGGGCGCCTGGGTGGCTCAGTTGGTTTAGCGACTGCCTTCGGCTCAGGTCATGATCCTGGAGTCCCTGGATCGAGTCCCGCATTGGGCTCCCTGCTCGGCAGGGAGCCTGCTTCTCCCTCTGACCCTCCCCCCTCTCATGTGCTCTCTGTCTCTCTCATTCTCTCTGTCTCAGATAAATAAATAAAATCTTTAAAAAAAATAAATAAAAATAAATAAAAAAATAAAATTCATCTCCTTCATGTGCAGAGGGCAGAGCTGCATGTGCTTGAGATGGGTAGAAAGGCCCCAAATCTGAGCTTATCCTAGTGTACTGGCTTGAATAGTGTTCCCCCTCCAAATTCATGTCCACCCGGAACCTGTGAATGTGACCTTCCCTGGAGGAGGGTCTTTGCAGATGTAATCAAGTTAAAATGAGGTCATACTGGAGTAGGATGGGCCCTCAATCCAATATGACTGGTGTCCTTCTAAGAAGAGGGACATTGGGACCCAGACACAGAGGAGAAGGCCATGTGATGACAGAGGCAGAGACTGGGGTGATCAGGAGTGGCAAGGATGCCTGGCGATCATCAGACGTTAGGGAGAGTCAAGGAAGGATCTTCCCTGGAGCCTTTAGAGGGAGCATGGCCATGCTGACACCTGATTTTGGATTTCTAGCCTTCAGAAACATGAGAAAATTAGTTTCTGTTGACTTAAGCCATCCAGTTTGTGGTATTTTGTTAGAGCTGCCCGGCATGACAGGCAGTGAAGGCCAGCAGGTATGTAAAACACCGAGGATATTTTGAGTCCATGTTTACAAGACACAGAATCCAAGTCAGAATCATCCCAGCGTAAGTGCATTTATGGTCGAGAAAGTCCCCAACTCCATTAGTTCTTTGATCAATTTTGATACCGCACAGTTATGAACAGTCATAAAACTGTTCCCATGTTTGTTTCTTTCTTCTGTTTTCATTTTACTAAAATGTTTCTCATCGGGATCAGTTTTGTCCCGTGCAAATTTTCAGTCTTTCTTTTTTCCTTACAGAATGTTTCCATGAAATGTTTCCCTTTGTGAATTTCATTATTTCCAGCCAGTTCATCTTCCCCACCTCAAAATGTGCAGACTGCATTTTTTGTCAGAATTTGATTGTACCTTATATAGTCTTAGCCAGTGCTAGCTTTGTTTGTCTATTTGTTTTCTTCAGTGTCAATTTTTAAAATTAAAAAAAAGATTTATTTATTTGAGAGAGAGAGTGGCGGGGGGAGGGGCAGAGGGAAGAGGAAGAGATAGTCTTCAGCAGACTCCGTGCTGAGTGTAGAGTCCGACACGGGGCTCCATCTCACGACCCTGAGATCATGACCTAAGCCAAAACTAAGATTTGGATGCTTAACCGACTCTCCACCCAGGTGCCCCAAAGACTGTTCTTATTTCTTGGGGCAAATGCATCTATAGGGAGAAGCTCTAGATGTAGGTACAGACAAGTTTGGGGGACCAAGAGCCCAACCTCCCAAGACAATTTTCTTCTTTCTCTCCTTTCCTTTTCCTTTTCCTTTTCCTCTCCTCTCCTCTCCTCTCCTCTCCTCCCTTTCCTTTCCTTGCCTTTCCTTCCCCCACCCTTCCTCCCTCCCTCCCTTCCTCTCTCTTTCGCTCTCTCCCTCTCTCCTCTCTTTCTCTTTCTTTTCTTTCTTTCCTCTATACCCAATGTGGGGTTTGAACACATGACCCCAGATTAAGAGTCGCATGCTCTACTAACTGAGCCAACCAGGAGCCCCGACAGACTATTTTTGTAGCCATAAAATCTCCAGAATCTCCACCCCAGTGTTATGTGTTTGGTTTGATGAGAGAACAGTTACTTGTAAGTTACAGTAACATCAAGGGAATCATCTGGACAATTTCCCAGTTGTCTTCAAGTCCCTAAGGTGCTAGCGGAGCAGGTGGTCTGATCATGCAGGTGGTGAGGCACCTAGCGAGGCCTGGGCAGGCAGCAGCCCTTTCCCCAGTGCTGGAGCGTGGCCCAGGCTGGGGGACATAAGACTTGCGTGGGACTGTGGTGAGCTAGCACAGTTCATCCAGACGGCCGGCTCCCGGTTTGCTGTCCAATCCTCGCATAGAAGCAGGTGGCCAGGCAGGCCCCCCAAGGGGATTCCTTGCCCTGCCTTTTTATTTATTTATTTATTTATTTAGATTTTATTTTTCAGTAATCTCTACACTCAACATGGGGGCTCAAACTTCCAACCCGGAGACCAAGAGTTGCGTGCTCTGCGGACAGCCAGCCGGGCGCCCCCTCCCCCACTTGGCCCTGCTTTTATGTTCTCTTTGTCATTGTTGCTTTTTTAAAAAACTCCCCCCACCCAGGTTTATTGAGATATAACTGACATATAGCATTGTGTAAATTTAAGGTGCACATGAGTTGATGCGATATATGTATATATTGCAGAACTGTTAACTAGCACCTACGGTTACCATTTCTTTTTTGTGGTGAGAACATGGGAGATCTACTCTCAGCAAATTGCAAGTATACAACACAGCATTGGTAACTATAGTCGCCATGCTTACAGTAGGTCCCCAGAACAGATTTGTCATTGTGACTTCGTTTTTTCCATGCAAGCGGAGGCAGCATGGAGTTGGTGGGGCTCCCAGCCTTTCGCTAAAAGGCTAAGAGCTGATAACGACGTGCTGGAGGGATCATTTGTGCATGGAGGATGCGGAATGAGGTTTGTCTGTGGTAGATCAGGGCCTGGGGCAGGTCTTGGGATCAACCAACCACCACTTGGACAGGGACTCAGTGTGTTCATGAAGGAAGGAAGGAGGGAAGGGGTAAGAAAACGTAGGAGAGGAGAAAGCACAGAAGGAAGTTAGTAAAAAAGGAAGAAAGCAGAACGAGAAGGACAGAGAGAAGGAAACAAGGGACAAGAGACGTTGTGGAGAGCTGTGAGTTCTTACCCCTCATTGGCTCTGCGTTTCTCCACCTGCCGCCTGGCCACCAGGGACTATCCGGCTAATTCAGGTTTTTCTGAGCACTCGCTCACACTGCGTAGCGGACTTCCTGTTTTGTCTGAGCCTCACCCCAATCCTGCAGGGGGGCTACCACTCTCCCCACTTTCCAAAAGGAGAAACGGAGGCTCCGAGGGGTAAGGCAACATGCCCGAGGCCTAAGGTGGCCTGAAGAGCAGGACCTGCCCCCGTGCGGTGATGCACGACGTATCTGCCTCTCTCTCACACTCACCGACTCAGGGTTCTTGACAAAGACCTTGGTGCTCCCCATCTGGTACTGGTCTGGCTCCATGTTGACCGCCCGGAGCAGGTGCTGGACGCCCTGACGTTCATCCCCACGCCACTGGGGCCACGTCTCAGGGGTCAGAATGGCGTACCTGGAGGCAGAGGGCGTGGGAGGGTTTGGGGTCCCTGCTGGCAGTCCCTCTGCGGGGTGGTGGGGAGGGCCTGGGGCAGGCGGGGGAGCCTCACCTCTGCAGGAACTTGGAGAACTGGCGGCGGTAGGCGAAGCCAGCCCGGCGCACCCTGATGTTCTCCTTCAGGCCCAGGTACTCCACCTGGTGCTTGACCCTAAGGGGGAAGGCACTGTGAGTCCCCTGGAGGATACTCCCTGGTCCTGGGTGTGAGTGGGTGCTGCTGAGCAGGGCTGGAGAGGGCAGATGTGAGACCAGGGGGGTCTGGATTCGTGCTGGGGGCAGTTTGGGGGGTGACTTCAGTGTCTGGGAGTCAGTTCTGTGGAGTGGGGGCCTAGCTTCTGGGGGGAGGGGTCTGTGTGAGTTCTGTGGTCAGTTCCAGGGTTAATTCTAGGGGTGCGTCCTAGGGTCTGGGGACAGAGGGGACTGTGCTAATCCCTGGGTCACCCGACGCTCAGTTCCACTCATCCCTGCAGTCCGGAGGGTCTTGGTCAGTGCTGGGTAGAACCCCAGGACCCTGAGAGGTTTTGCGCTGGTCCTAGGGGTCATCCTCGGGATGGGTCGCATGACTCTGGGTGGGCTCTCGAGGGAGGGTCAGTCTGGGGGGACAGACTGTGTGCATTGGTCCAGCTGGTAGTCACCTGCTCTCCTCCCAGTCACGGGGCTTCTTGGTCTCGTTGGGTTTGATGCAGCGAATATAGTGGGGCGTACATCTCTTCAGGGTGGCCACCAGGTCATTCGCTTGTTTCTGAGGTGGGGGAGAAGGCGGGGGTGGTGCACAGATGGGGCCCTTGGACCCTCTCTCCTCCCACCCTGGGTACAGGGTCAGGGGACAGAGAGACCCTGAGTGGGGGGCTGGCTCCCAGTGAGCCAAGGGGTCCGGTGTCCCTGGTCTGTGCATTCTTCCATTAGCACACACCATAGGGCTTGATATTGTGTGTGTACCTGATCCTTGAACCTCAGACTAGGAGCTCTCCTGTCTGCAGCACTCACTGCTTAATCTGGCGCGTAGTAAGTGCTCAGCAAATGTTTGCTGATGGAGTAACTGAGCACTCAAGACAATATGTTGCATAGAACATTTCTGCCTATCCTTCGAGGGGGACCACTGCTTTGGGAGTAGGGAATCATGTGTGTGTCCCTTGGGTTGTGCATTTTAGTCCCTTGGAGGAGACTAGAAAGGACATTGTTCCAGGCGGGGGGATTGGAGAGAGGGGCACGGGAGACCTCGATGTGGAGTGTGCTCTGCTGTGTGGTCCGGGCCGGTGACTGCTGCCGTGAGCCTTGGTCTCCCCATCCACCGGGTGGGACTAGTCCCGTATGTGTAAAGTGTCCCGCGTTTGCAGCCAGCCCTGGCAAGGGCTCAATGCGCGGTTATGAAGAGATTTTTTTAGACTGGGACACCCAGTTGATAGCAGCCCTATTCATAATAGGTTAAAGTGAAAACAACCTAAGTGTCCATCCACGGAGGAATGGATAGGAAAATGTGGTCCATTCATACGCTAGAAGATTTTTCAGCCTTAAAAAGGAAGGACATCCTGACACCTGCTACAACATGGACGAACTTTGAGGACATTATGCTGAGTGAGGTAAGCCAGACCCGGAAGGACACATCCCACAGGACCCCACTCCCAGGAGATCCCCAGAGGAGTCCCGTCCACAGAGACAGAGAGGACAGGGTGGGAGCCAGGGCTGGAGCAGGGGGTGGGGAGTCCGTGCTTCATGGGGACAGAGTCTCCGTGTGGGGAGATGGAAAGTTCTGGAGAAAGTTCTGGAGACAGTTTGGGGAGATGGAAAGTTTGGAGACAGATAGTGGGGGTGGTGGCACAATGGGAATGTGCTTCATGCCACTGAGCTGTGCACTTAACAATGGTTAAAATGGTACATTTTATGTATATTTTACCACAATTCAAATTAAAGCGGTAAGTAACCAGAAGACCAAAAAAATTATTGAGATGATGGTTCACTTTTGGATTTAGAGAGTTAGGGGGGACTTCAGGGAAACTGGTCCAACCTCCCCACTAGCCCCAGAGCTGGAAGAAGACCCTGCAGCACAGAGGATGCCAGAGAGAGGAGCGGAAGCTCCAGGACGAGAGAGAGACAGACCCCAGCGCTCCCTATGCCCAGCTTCTCCTCTCCTGCCCCAGGCCCACCTTGATCTTGGAGCCAGCAGTGCTGGGGCGGCCCTTCTTGTCTACATCCAGCTTCTCAGGAAAGAGCATCCGGAGGAAGGCCCTAGGCAGCGGGGACAGGGGGAGTCAGAGGTGCAGCTGAACCTTGGGTGCTGGCATAGTTCTGCCTGAGTGTGGGGGGTGTAATGGTGAGAACCGCAGAGTTCGTTTTGTCCTTTTGGTTCCTTGATCTATTTGCGCTGTTCCTTCTGCCGCTACGACCACGCACGACTTGGGTAGCAAGTAAAGTAGAACAAAGTTCAGTTCAGTAGGAACGTCTCTCTAGGGCTGCAACATGTCAGCATCTCGAGCTTTAGGGGCAGGTCCCCTTGTAGGAGCACACACAGGCTCACATGAGTGAGCGAAGAGATACAAGCGTGCTCGCTGCCTGTGGTAGTCCTAGATAGGCCCAGTCTGATTGTCCATCAGCAGGGGATTGCTTCGACATTCTTTGCTCCAGTCACAATCCCCTCCCTCATCTCCTCAGTGAGGTCTTCCCCGACCGCCATAACACAGAACGAGTGCACTGCTCATCCATACATATTCGGGAGGATGAAAGAGTTCTGGGGGGCACCTGGGTGGCTCAGTCGGTTAAGCGGCTGCCTTCGGCTCAGGTCATGATCCCAGGGTCCTGGGATCGAGCCCCGCGTCGGGCTCCCTGCTCAGCGGGGAGCCTGCTTCTCCCTTTCCCTCTGCCTGCCGCTCTGCCTACTTGTGCTATCTCTCTGTCAAATAAATAAATTAAAAAAAAAAAAAAAAAGAAAGAGTTCTGGAACGAGGGAGTGGGGATGGTTGCGTTGTGAATGTGCTTCATGTTACTGAGCTGTACAGTGCAAAATGGTGAAGAAGGTGAACTTTATAGTGTATTTTATCACACTTAAAAGAAAGTAAAAAAAAAAAAAAGAGTGAATGATGCCCACCACACGCTCTAGCCCTTTATCAACGTAGTTTTTCTATCCAGTGCTTGCCCCAGTGGACACCAGAATCACCAGGAGAGCTTGTGAAAACACGGCTGGCTGGGCCCCCACCCGGTTCCTCTCGAGTTTCTCATTCACATATCTGGGCTGGGGCTCAGTAATTTCTAATGAGTTCCCAGGTGGTACTGCTACCGCTGGTTCAGGAACCCTACTTTGAGAACCACGGCTCTGTGCTTTCCAATATGGCGGCCCCTGGTCACTGGTTATCGAGGCCCTTGAGACTTGGCCTGTCTGAATCATGATGCGCTGGGAGTGTTAAAATGCATACCAGATTTCAATGAGTACCGCAGATGGGGCAAGAGAGTGTAGTTCATTCATTCTTAATTGATTCATATTCATTCATTATTAATTTTTATATGGATTGCATGTCGAAATGATATTTTGGGTATATTGG